TCATAGGGTCTATGTCTCCCAGGGTACTATTGGAGGGTACCCTGGTAACTATCTGATATGGTTAGGGTTAGAGTTAGGGTTAGGGTTAGGGAGTGGGCGTAGGCGACTCCCTAGACTCATTAGTGGAGTAGGCGAGGTACGGTCCGGCATATTAGATAGTACCAGGGTACGTTCCGGCATAGCTCTAGTACTATAGCCCGCGTACAGTTGCCGCAGGCCTGCGGCAACTGTACGCAGGCTAATAGTACTAGAGCTAGTTCCGGCAGTAACCTGGGGGACATAGAGTGATAGGCTACTGATAGAGGGATTTGCTAGAACAGGGGCATCGAAGGAGGGTCACGTGATGTGGCTGCACTTGTGTTAGGATTAGGGTTAGGGTCAGGGTAAGGGTTAGGGTTAGGGTTAGGGAAATAAGACCATGTTTAGCACGGAAGTATGACTGTGGAATCTTTCTGTGGAAGAATTGGACTTTGAAGCGTACGAAGTGACTAGTGCTGCCACGTAACGGCATTCTCCTTCGACGCCCGTGTTCTAGCAACACCCACTGATAGACCCTCTCAGCACTACTACTAGTGCTGAGAAGGTCTATGTCCCCCAGGGTACTGCCGGAACATACCCTGGGTACGGTCCGGTATATACTGGAATCCTCGCCTACTCCACTAACGAGTCTAGGGAGTCGCCTACGCCTACTCCCTTACCCTAACCATATCAAATAGTTACCAGGGTATGTTCCGGCAGTACCCTGGGGAACATAGACCCTATGAGCACTACTAGTAGTAGTACTACTACTACCCTAGTACTAGTACTACTACTACCCTAGTACTAGTACTACTACTAGTAGTAGTAGTCCTAGTCGAACTGTAAATCCACAGGCACTTGTCTTGAAGCGTTTCAATAAAATATAATGCTAAATAAATACGAAATCTATTTACTACCAAATTCTTAATCTTTCTATATACTCTCTTTCACCTATTATTGCCTCCAGTTTCCTGTAAATTCTGTCCAAATCCTCTATGTACACACGCTGCCGGCCGCCATGGCTGCCGCGGCTGCACTGTGCACACTTACACTATATATATGATAAGTATATATATAAGTGTAAGTGTGCACAGTGCAGCCGCGGCAGCCGGCAGCGTGTGTACATAGAGGATTTGGACGGAATTTACAGGAAACTGTCAGCAATAATAGGTGAAATAAGAGAGTATAGAAATATCAAGAATTTGGTAGTAAATAGATTTAGTATTTATTTAGCATTATATTTTACGCAGTGGCTACGCGTCCGGAACCGGTCGCCTAGCATCCAGGTTACGCATCCGGAACCGGTCGCCTAGCCTCCATTCTACGCATCCGGACATCCACTCAAACAGTAATCACGCGACTCACGTACACGCATGATTACACAACGGGACGCTCTGCTGATTGCCGAAAATATATAATATATATGCACTGCTGCCGTCTATCTTTTCATCCGTCATCTCTCGCTCTCTCTCTCACACACACACGCACAGCTCTCTCTCGCGCGTGCTCTCTCTCTCTCTCTCACACACGCACAGCTCTCTCTCTCGCGCGCGCTCTCTCTCTCCCCCTCTCTCTCTCACGCATACACACACACATACACATTCCCTCTCTCTCTCTCTCTCACACACACGCACGCACGCACGCACGCACGCACGCACGCACG